TACTTTAAGATACACTCTATTACAGGAACCACTAAAGACACTCTACCAGCAGGATGTCATGTCTACTCCTCCATACAACGTTGTTATTATTATATTTACAAGGTGATGAAAGGCCCCAGCTGTTGATAATTCTCACAACAGATGCACTGTGTCTTTCTACGTGTTGTTACGTAATTCTTCCACCATGCATCCAGTATTACATTCCAATGGTGGATTCCATTAATTCGAAGCCTGGTATGCCTACAAGTGACTATAAACATTACTGCTGAAAAGTAAACTACTCCTTAAGGAATACTATGCCCTTTACATAAATGTAGGACACTTGCAATTTCTATTGAAGACGACTTCTTAAGAGATAAAAAAAGGACCAATCAAATTAATTTATTCCACTAACTTATAGGCACAGTGATAGAGTCTTCCATTCTAAGTATAGAAACACATCATCATGCACTTACTGAGTTTTTGCACTTTTGGGCAAAGGGGTAGTTACATCCCTGGCACATGTGAATTAGGCAGCCTAAAACACTGTTTCATGATGCTTAATGTCAATTCTTTGCAAAATTTACATCTGTCATTGGTGCACACAGCACACTGATGACAGATAAAAGGAGGCTCTAACTTGCAGGTATCATGTCTACAAGGCAAAGATTGCTCTTCTCTTCCTCTGAGCAGTCCTTCCCTGCATTGCCTGTTTTTTATTTTTAAATCCTTTCCCATGTCCACCCTTTTCCTCAGTCCTTCCCCTATTATTATTTATAAAGCGCCAATAGATTCTGCAGCGCTGTACAATGGGTGACTCACAGACATGTAGTTGAAACCAGACAAGATGGAGGGACAGGAATAGTGGGGTTGAGGGCCCTGCTCAATAAGCTTACATGCTAGAGATAGTAAGGTATAGTGGCACAAAAGGTAAGCGTAAGGTAGAATATGCAATTGCTAGAATTGTATTCCCTGAGGGCTTGATTGTTTTTTGTCATTTTTTTAACTACATTTGCAGGAGAGGAATCAGGAAAGTTGGGAAGACATAAGACCACCAATGTTAAAAAGAGGTGGATATGCGCTATGTTTTTTAGATGAAAGCAGCAGGATTTGGCAATCTAATGGACATGAGTGGTGAAAGATGTCGGAATCATAGAGAACACCTAAACTGCAAGTCTGTGAGGTAAAGCTGATGGTAGCGGCGTTGACTTGGTGGGAGACAGACATGAGCGTAGCAACACTTGAGGGAGGAAACAACAGAACTTCTGTTTTGGACAAGTTAGGTTTAAGAAAATGAGCAGCCATCCAGTTGGTAGTAGCAGAGAGGCCGTCAGAGACAGAAGTCAAGAGGGGCTGCGAGAGATCAGGAGAGGACAGATAGATTTGCATGTCAACCACATAGAAATTATATTGGAAGACAAACGAGCAGATGAGCTTACCAAGGGAGGCAGTGTAGATCGAGAACAGTAGAGGACCTAGGACACCGCCTTGAGGGAACACCAGCAGAGAAGATGAGAATAAACTGTTGATGAGCAACAGTGTCAAAAACAGCAGAAAGGTCAAGGAGAATTAGGAGAGAATAGTGACCATGAGATTTTGCAGCAGTTAGATCATTGGATTGGATTTGGTCACAGTTGTTTAGACAGAGTGACAAGCATGAAATCCAGACTGATGTGGGTCAAGCAGAAAGTTGGATTCAAGGAAGTCTGTCAATCTCACATACACAACTCTCTCAAGGATCTTTGAGGCAAATGGTAGAAGCAAAATAGGGTGGTAGTTGGATGGGAAGTTAGGGTCAAGGTTGGGCTTTTTCCAGAATCGGGGTTACATGTTTGAAGGGTGAAGGAAATATACCAGAGGAGAGGGAGAGATTGAACATTTTAGTGAGAGGCAGAGCAAGAAAAGGAGACATAGTGCAAATGAGATACAAGGGAATAGGTTTAAGAGAACAGGTGGTGGGGCAGGAGGATCGGAGAAGAGCAGAAACCTCTTCTGTTGTAGCAAGTGCAAATGAGCCAAAACCAGCAGAGGCGGTAAGGTTGGGGGAAGTATTGGTTGTGGAAGGAGAGAAAAGAGAGATCTCTTCCCTGATTGTAGAAATTTTCTCAGTGAACTGAGTTGTAAAGTTTGTGGTGATCAAAGTGGTAGGAGGAGGAGCAACAGGGCAAAGAGAGAGAGTTAAAAGTGTGAAATCAGCATTTGTGTTTGTGAGAGTGTGTGGTTGTAAAGTAATTAAATAAAAGAAGAGGAGGTTTTGAGCACACGATGGATGGATAATAATATGATCTTTAACATAAACAGCTATCATAGGGCAATATGTTAAAACCAATATATAGTATAAAAAGTAACTTGGAGCACTCACACTTTAGAGAGCCATGTAAGTCGGCTCTCTACTGTACAGGCATGTAGAGTATTTCTGGAAAAATGCTGTATAAAAGATGGTCCCCCAGAAACAGATATCAAATTTCATCTGGATGTAATCAGGAACCAAAATAAATATTTACTTTTTTTACTTTTAAATTTATTTTGGTTCGTGATTACTGATTCATCTTTTATACAGCATTTTTCCGGAAATACTCTACATGCCTGTACAGTAGAGAGCCAACTTATATGGCTCTCTAAAGTGTGAGTGCTCCAAGTTACTTTTTATACTATATATTGGTTTTAACATATTGCCCTATGATAGCTGTTTATGTTACAGATCATATTATTATCCATCCATTGTGTGCTCAAAGCCTCCTCTTCTTTTATCCAATTTTGTACATGTAAGTGTTTTAAGGGTGACTAAAACACTGGTTTGGTTATTAGACGCACTGGGATTTTTTGTTTTATTCTGTAATTACATGTCGTTTAGTGCCATTTTACCCAATTTTTGTGTGTTTGTAAAGTAATTAAAGTAGTTTTTTTATGCAGAGGAAAGAGAAAAACTGTAGGAACGCAGCATAATTTTATAGTGGAGGAAGTCAGATGCAGAGTGAGACTTTCTCCAGCAGTGTTCAGCAGTTCTGCAACATTTTTGTAGGTATTGGGTCAGCTTGGTGTGCAACGGTTGTAATTGGGGAAGCTTGCCACAATATCTAGTTGAGTGTAGAGGGTGGAGTAGTAGAGGGAGGATTTGGGGCAAGAGAGATTTGAGAGGGTTAAATTGAGGATATGGAAGTTGGTCAAGAAATGCTGTAAGTCTGTTGTGCAGAGGGTGTTTTAATTTGGGTACGAAGTATGACGATGTCAAAGGTCAGAAGATGATGATCAGATAGAGGAAATGGAACACTGAAGTTATTAGAGGTGGTACAGAGATTGCTGAAGGTAAGATCAAGAGTGTTTCCCACTGTTTAAATTGCTGAATTGGACCATTGCTTGATGCCAAAAGAGGAGGTTACAGAGAGCAGACGAGAGGCATTAGGACAGTTGGGGTTGTTGATTGGGATATTAAAGTCCCCAAGTATAAAGGAAGGAGTGCTAGAGGATATGAAAGTGTGATAGCCAATGAAAGTGTTCAGTGAATAACCTAGGATGACTGGTCACTGGTCATTTTAGATCATAACCCATACTATAAATGTTGGTGTGTTTTTTGTTTTTGCTTTTTTAAACCTGTATTTAAAGCAGTGTCCATTGGTAAGAGTACCTCCAAAAATGTAGGGTAAAAAAAATTAAATATTTATATAGGAAGGTGAAGTTTGTAGTTGCGGGTGGGGTTACCCAGCCTATAAATACATAGGCCTCCCTTGTTCTGGGCCAATACTGCGTGGTTCAGCCCACCGACCACTCCCTTTATCAAGCCATTCAATTTTGGTGCAACATCTTTTTACACAACTACCCGAGTTGTTCTGGGCACACTTCAACCAACTTACACGACAACTACTATAAATCAGCATATTTCAACAAATTATATATATATATATATAAAAAAAAAATATATATATATATATATACATACACAGATACATATATATATTTATATGCATACATAAATGCATACATACATACACATATATACATTTCTATACATATACAAACACACAGACCATACACACAATAACAAAACAGAGCATATTAGCATAAAAAAAAAAACATATAGGGCCTTTAGTATTTTCTCTCTCCTCCCCCCTCCCCCTTCCCTCCCGAGGAACTAAATAAGCTGCTCCTATAGTGACATTGCCAATACTTTGACTGCGGCAGAAGGCATATAAACATAGTTGGCAGCTGCACCATTAAAACATTGTTAGTTACACAGAGAGACACAATGAATGACAACATTGTGAGCATCACAGCAAATTATTGCTGGGGAGTATTGAGATAAATGGCAGTAATTGCATTTGCATGGAAGACACTTAGCTGCATGTTGCACACAAAGATGAGTTATATAGGCTGACTGTATTTCCATTAACACACTGGAGGAATGATGCTGATTTTATTACCTTCATTTGCAATTTCAATGGTCTAATAAATAAAGCTCTTCCATCCCTTGCTAGAGAAACACTGCTGTCTGACTGGGAAAAAATGAGATTGCTTTGTACTTTAGCAGAAATAAAAGAAAACGTGCACGTTTATATTACATTCCATTAATTGTAATGAAATTGCTAAGCTGGAAATGTGTAGTCATGTTTGCCTTGAAACAAGAAATATTCAGCACAATGAAGCTTAGGGTCATTTTTCATCATTGGAAAGTAATAGGAATGGCAAAATTCTCTCTTTTTTTCTTATTTTTTTTTTTCACTCTGTCCTTTTTGTTTTCAGACAAAATGATGCAGATAATCACTGATTATTCGGAAAAACACAGGTCTCATTGCAGGTTTTGGATAGTTTGGGGTTTCGGTTTTCACATCGCTAAATTCCTAAATCCCTATTTAGTGTCATTTCGCATGCAAAGAATGGGATTCAAAAGATTTACAAAGCACATACTTTAATCAAATTTGAAAACAAATGCATCTGATCTGATGCACGTTCGCAAATTGTAGATTATGCAAGCTTTAGTGTACCTATAATCTTAATTTTATTAATGACAGGAGACGAGTATTTTGCTTAAGTCATCTTTACATAAGCTCCACAACAGCACTTTTTAACATAGTAACAGGATAACCAATCAGAAAAAAGTAACAGGTTACAAAACTCCCTCCCACTGATGTCACTTCCTCTTTCTGGCTGCGAAACGAACAAGTAACAGAAAACCGCAGAAGAACTATAAGAAGATCTCAGCATACAAGACGAGAAGAGTTCACACTTGAGAGGAACAGGAACTAAGCTTGACATCTTGAAACGTTTAAACTGAAACGAGAGAACAGAGTTGAAACAGGATTAATCCACGGATTGGACTTCTAAAGGCATGCCACCAAACTGTATGTAATATGTATTCTGAAAGATGCATGTAACACCATCTCTACATCCCACCACATTAGAGCAAACCCTAGTGTAAGATACTTTAAGTAAGTCTTACAGGGTTTACAGGGAATAAATTTGCAGTGCCGGAATGTCGCGTTACACCAAGATGGCCGCCGCAAGGCCAGTATGTGCACAGATTGCGTCTTCCACAAAATGGGCGCCGCGATCTCGCGCAGGTGCACGAGAGCTGTAATGGCCGCCTGGATCTAGCAGTAGTGCGCGAGATCCAAGATGGCCATCGTGCGATGTAAGGGGCCGTCGGAGGCATTCCCCGCGGCCCCAGAAAGCCCGGCAAAACCAGGGCAGCAATATGCCAGCCGCGACCCGGGTGACAGGTAGAAAAGGAAAAAGGGAAAGTAAAAATACAATAGATAGTTAGAAGATATAGATAAAATATTTGGAAGTAAGAGTGAAGGAAAAGGTAAAAATATATATAATACAGAAAAGAGAAAAAGAGAGGGAAGCTGAAGTAATATACTGTGTATATATATATGCAATACAGCTATTCCTCAAAAAATAAGTAACACAATTAACTAAATAGAATATACAAAATAGAAAAACGAATTAAAGAAATACATAAACCACAGTAACCCACAGAGAGTAGGAGACAGTGGCACTCTGACCTGTACTGGTGTAACCTGTTACATTTTTCTGATTGGTTATCCTGTTACTATGTTAAAAAGTGCTACTGTGGAGCTTAAGTAAAGAAAGACTTAAGCAAACTGTGAAGCCTCCTGTCATTTTATAATAATGTCATTCACTTTTATGCAAGTGTAAAAAAATTCCAGTGGTGAGAGCGGTTTAACCCCTTAACCCCTTAAGGACACATGACATGTGTGACATGTCATGATTCCCTTTTATTCCAGAGGTTTGGTCCTTAAGGGGTTAAAGGAAAGAGATCACCCAGGGGCTTCCTGGCATCATAGCAATTTCATTTAGAGGAAGTTGTTATGGTGACCAGAATGTTCCTTTAATTTGCTTAAAGAAACACTGTAGTGTCAGGAACACAAATATGAATTCCTGACACTATAGTGGTAAAATGACTGTCAGTAAAATGCAGCACTGACCCAGAAAGCACCTCTCGTGGCTCTCTGAGTGACGGCCATTAGAGGTGTTACTAGCCAGCAATGTAAACACTGCTTTTTCTCTGAAAAGGTAGTGATTACATTAAAAAGCCTGCAGGGACAGGCTGTAGACACCAGAACTACATTAAGCTGTAGTTGTTCTGGTGACTATATTGACCCTTTAACTATGTGGCGACTGGTCAGTACTTGCTAGCCACACTAAAAAAGTTTTTTTTTTTTTAATGTAAATAAAAAGCCTTAGTGTGACAGTGGAGGCATATCTATGAACTTTTTAAAACTAGCAACTTGGCCCACCAATGTGCATTAGGAGGGGGACTTTTAGATAAGTAATGTGTGGATAGATCATTGTCCAGCACCCTGTCCCCACCCATGCTGGCGGGTGATGGTGATATATTCCATAACATAAAGTGGGGGACATTCCTATGTCCATACGGTGCCCCAATGACACAATGGCAAACAATGGTGACTTTGCAGTCTGAATGGCCCTCTATGCAGCCAGATGATGTTGGGCGCACATATTGTATTTATGGATAAAGAACTGACCTTTATTACCCATAAGATAATAAGCCAAACCTTCTCACAGTAAGGTCATTTAGAAAGATGCTTTAACTGTTTGGAGTCCTCTAGTACTGTTGCTGTTAGACGCTATGGACAAGGTTTGACCAATGAGTCAAATATTCTGTAGTCATTACAAGAGGTCATTATATCAGTTCTTTGTAGAAGGCAATGCAAGTAAAAGCCTTAGTTATTTCACATACTTCGACTTGACGAAACTCTGAAAGGGTTCATATGAGCCATTGTGGCAGACCGTCTGGCAACCTGACTGGGTACCTCCGCCAATTGTGCTTCATAGTTGTCGCCGAGTACCATAAGCACTGCACCAGACACCATAAGCTCCATAGTCCCCTTAGCCACTGCAGCTTGGCTAGGGTTTTGCCGTCCCTTCCCACCCTGGACCAACACCTGGATCTAGCTCCTAGTGGGAAGACCTCTCCTCCAAGAGAGTTTAGCTGTATAGTAAGTGATTATAGCAAGTATAGCTTTCCCCTACAGACATTAGTCGAGACTGAATGCTGGGGTAGTCTGTTTATTTCCAGCCAAATGGCTCACTTATATACAAAACCCTGAGCACAGTGACACGCCCAAAACACATCTATAAACACACCCATAAACACACCCATAACATGTCCAAGAAATACAGTGTCACTGTAAAACATAAAATATAAAAAAACACGTAAAAATGCATATAATACAGATAGGGACCCCCACAAGTTGTATATCGTCAAATAGCCCTTATCTGAGCGCCCAAGTTCTCCAAATAGCGCTCAGATCCAGGCAGTGTAGGTGAAATGCCACCGTGTGGAAGTTCTGACCAGCCACACACATCCTATGCCCAAAACAGTTCCAGGGCGTTTTGTGCTTTTGCCAGTCAAAATACCGAACGTAATCCATAAGTATAACATGGAGCTTGTTCACCTCATTCATATGAACAATTACACCAAACAACGCACTTCCAGGTTGTAAAGTACCGAACGCAGGCGGGATTGAATTTCAGTGTTGTTCGCGAGGTCGAGTGTCTGATTTCAGTTCCATGCACTCGACGACCAAACACTGCTGCCTGCGTTTGCGGGAACAAGATGGCCGCCACCACGTGTTTGGGCATACAAACGGCAGCCATCCAGACGAACACTTAGAACACTGCTGGCAGAACCGTTCCAAGGTGTCAATAATGTTTAACAAGCTTCGGGGTGGTCTTTAGTTAGTGGATCTGTTCGCTTCCCGAACAGCAGAGGGAACCCAACCAAACGGAGTCTTTTAAAATGTATTTTGCAGTCCTTTTTGCAGGTTCCATCTGCCCCATTACCGTTTTTCTCATTTTTCTGACAGGCTCTGGGCTTATTTGTACCTTTCCTGGCACTCTCTGCCTGGCCCAATAAGTTTTTTCCCTTTTCACTGGCAGTCTCCCACTTCTGTTGCAATGTGCCAATGTTCCTGGCAGGCTCTGGTGTATTAATTTCCCTCTGGGTTGTGGTATTAGTTTCTCCCCTTCCTGGTGGGCAAGGCCGTAGTATCGCCGCACGCCACTCGTTAATTTTTTGGAATCATTGGTGGTTTCCGGCAGCCATCTTGGATCTTGCATCTATATGGTGGCCATATAGGGGCACCCGTGTGGTTGCGAGTGCCATAATTAGGGGGCTGACTTCTCCTTCACACAGTGCCTGCCTGCATCACTGCTCCTGCTGGTGCTCACTTTGACAGCACATGTACTAAAATTGGAACACCTAGTTGTTTGAGCACCATTGTTATACGACCTGTTCTTACTGTGCCGGGTTTTCTACTGTTCCGGGTTTTATACTGCCAAACTGTCCATACACTTTTGCCTGCACCTGGTCCTGTGCCAAAAACTGCCCTTAGTGCCTAATAAGTATTGCTGAGGTCTGTCTGACTACATACAATTGCCCTTGTGGTACTTTATACATTAGGTGAGCCCCAGTGGCTTGTGATTGTAATTAAATATGGAGGACTCACAAAATAGTCCAGTATATTACCAGGCCATGATCAATGCAGCAATGGCTGTGTCAGTAGAAAAGACACTTTCGAAGGTGTTCTCGACAAGCTCTGACCCTGCTAAAGTTGCCTTTACCACCAAGCATGCCCACTATAGGACTGAATCCGATGAGTGTTCACAGCAACTAAAAGCCAAGGGAAAAAGCCCTTTATATGTGGCAAGCTGCATGCAGCCCCACCTGCGCAACTCCTGCCACACGGTGACTCCTTGGACAAGGACAACAACTTACCCACGTCGCTCTCAATACTTGATGAGTGACTAGCAAATGCTTCTGGATTGAACGATTATGCTTGGGGCTCCACAGTGAGGTCTGACTTTTTGGCATCTTCCCAGGTGGATGCGGAGGACGTTTTAAGTGCTACGGGCATGTTGAACCCACGCAATATAAGCCACCACTGCTCTGGGGATTGGACACCACCTGACCTCCTCTTGAAATTTATGTACATGTAGCTAAGGAATCCACTGTGGAAGAAGGTCCGCAACCGTTGTCCGGCGGTCTTCATTGCCCCGACACCATAATTTGACCAGCTGATGTTGACATTAATGGCAAGTTAAGGCTGGGAACCACGTAAAGGGGTGTAAAGGTGTTGAAAGAGGTTTCAACGGTGCGCAGGACAAGCTCCTGGATGTGGTTGGGCCCCTCACACGCATAATGTGTCTGATGGATGGTGCCCATTCTTAAACCGAGTTATTTGATGTGAACATGGTACACAAATGGGCGCACAACACCTTTGAGTGGGCACAAAGGTGGTTCTATTTCCTGGGAAACACAAATGGAGCACTCTCTTTGGAGAGATGCAAAGCAGCACTCTTACACATTGACGGAAAACTGGCAGACTTATGCACTTAAAAACTCAGGCCCTCAGGCACAGGGCAAGCTCTTCTGGGAAGCCTTCATGAAAGAGCTGAATAAACATGTGAATGTTTTTACATCCCTGAACAAGGCATAATCTTCCATGAAAAAAAATTCTTCAGGGGTAAACATGATCAAGTTCTAGGAGTTCAAGTTCAAGGACTAGACAAATGCCACCAATGTCATACTGTAAAAAAATGCAAATTGAGGGGGAGGGGTCAACAGCCAATGGGAGCAGACATGCTTTGTGAGAGCTCCTGCACTGCACAATGCTGCAAACATGAAATACTACCCTCCCATACTCGACCCATACTACCCTCTCGTACTCTACCCATTCTACCCTCCCATACAAGATACAACGAACAACAGGCAAGCACTGGAGATCCCAAACGCGAGGCAAATTAACCTGCAGTGTACGGACACTAAAGCCAAGATTGCCAATGCTGCCAAATCAGAGGGCACTAGTACATCCTTATGAGCCTTGACCCCAGTTCAGACAACTAAGCACTACATTATTTCAAACATCAGGGAACTCCTGTAATAATTTATAGCAGGCATCAGGGCTGACATAAAAGCATTAACTGAAGAGGTAAAAGGAAATTCTGGACATAGGGAACAGAACAGAGGAGGTGGAGGCCAGAGTAGATGACCTCTCCTTGTCATGTAGCCCCAGATTGAAATTAACGCCCATGAACTGAGAGAATATTCCATCCATATAAGCTATGGTCCAGTTGATTTTGTGCTGTGTTGTGTATCCTTTTACTCACATGTCTCATGACTTTAAACACCACTTTTATTGGATAATACTTCACATTTACTAACAACAATGTTTGTGCGGTACCAAATGACTATGTGAGGCTGCGCTGTCTGTGTGACAGGGGATACTTAAAAATGTCCGTACCACATGCATACCTTATTGGGAAAGGATATAGTATAATATAAGTGGCATGAAGGGTACAACCCTTTGCATAACATCTCAATGTCACCTATATAACAATTTATAAACCTTTGATTTTCTAGCTTAACAGTTGATCCCACAGTTACACAATAGAGTATTAGTTTTAATATATATTTAATAACAAAATAAACAAAAAAAAACATTGTGAGGAACTTTGACAAGGGAAGGGAACCTTGAGTAAAGTTAATAAGTAATCCCTAATGTGTGTCCAATTGGGCCGCAAGTTGTATTGTCAAAACATATATATAATGTCCTATGAAAGGAACTCACTCCTCTCCCATATCTTAGGTTGAACAATTATTGCTCATTATTGCCAATAGTGATCAATCATTTCTTTGGGTTTATATCAACTCTAAATAGTTTGTTATGTTTTTGTGTTGCATGTCTACAACTGCCTTTGTGTAAGGACCAAATTACTGGTACTGGGAAATCTCTTCCGAGAGACCGAACACATAAACACTCACTCTTAGCAAGACTGGGGTCCCATTTTTGGGATTCCATTACTCCCCTTTATGCTGCATAATACATCATAGGTCTAGACTCTAGAGCTATCTATAGCTAGTGTTAGACTCTAGAGCTATCTATTAATGGGAAGAGACATGAACAGAGAAGCCTCCAAAGTTAAAGTGCACCAACTATGCTTACAGGAAACCCACTTCTCCAAAGTTAAACATCCGTACTTTCATATCCCACAATATCCCTTGGGATATCACTCCATGGCCCTATCCACGACTAGAGGGGATCCATCCTGATCCATAAATCTGTATAATTTTGCTTACGCTAAAAACACTCCATCAACAAGGGAAACTATAAGGTTCAATACACCTTAGTTAATGTATATGCCCCAAACACACAACAAATAGCCTTCCTTCAAAAACTATTCCACAAAGATGATACACAAGATAGAATATTTTTTTTTTGTGGGGACTTGATAGAATGGGAACATGATAGCCAACCCTCCTCATGACACCTCTGCTCAACATCCATCCCACTACTTTAGAAGACCTAATTCACAAAGTAAACAAATACAGGCACTTGCTGGAGAAGCAAAAAAAAGGTTCAACACCTACTCTAGACTTGACTATTTTGTCTATTTAGATAGATTACAAAGATTACACTATGCACTTTAGGACTTCTCTTCTGGTGATAACATACCCCCATTTTTCTATAAATTTCTGATAAATCTTCTTCTTACAATGAGTAGATCTATATTGGATGGATTGCTGAGAAACCACCCTTTACTCACAAACCCTTCTGAAGATATTCCCTTAGAATATTTAGAGATGCATGTAACTTTGTTATTTTTTTGTTCATGGAGAAAGGGGTCTTACATACCTTTGGAGACATCAGTGGGAAAGGCTACTCCTATTCCTAGGTATACCAACCAAGGATAACCTTTCTAACTAATCTTTTTTTAAAATACCTACCTATTCATCTTTTCCTTTGGAAACACAAATAGGAGGTGAAAGGTTCAGATCTAGTGGTGTCTGACTTCACCCCACTGATATCCAAACATGTCCTGGCCAAAAAGAGCTTAGCAATATGTTACAAAATCACAGAAGTGCCCAGAATCATGTTCTAAATGTGGGATAAGGGCATAGGGATTAAAACAAAATATATTAGGAGGTGTAGAAGTAAGCAGCTGACATGTTGAGAGGGTTTATACACTGCACATTTAATTTAGAACTACAATATAAACTGGTAATGAGATGGTACCTGGTACCGGAAATATGTCCAGATCTTCAACTTTCAGGATGGGAGATGATGGTGAGGGTGCAATGGAAGGGGAATCTAAACCCATATCTGGATGAATTGTTCCTTTCTGGAACTGCTCTAGAAGGAAATCTTCCTTTTAGCCTCTCGAATAGTCAACACACATATTCCACCCATCCCCTGGGCTACTGCACATATTCCCACAAACACTCCTGAAATCCTGGAAATGTATGCACTGTCATCTCTTTGTAGCCACTAAAAAAGTAGTCACAAGAAATTGGAAATCAAAAAACATCCCTAATGTCACACAAGTGATGGAAACTTTGATGATGCAAAGGATGTGGGAACAAATTTCACATAGATAACAAACCTCTCAAAACAGGCCCTCTCAAAAATGTAATTGTAAACTCTGATATATGGAAACTGACAATAAATGAAACAACTTTTAAGGAAAAGAATGCAATTTGAGATTTCCATGTGCATACACTGGGCAGCAGAGTAAAATGTTGAAAAGCATATGAACTTTAATGGAATCAGGGGGTGACAACCATGCCGTTTGTCACTGGCTTGGGGGGCCTGGTGGTCCTGGGGGACCCGGCGGGCCGGGCCCATGTGTAGCAGCAGAACTGCTGCCAGTGCAGCTGCACCAGGGCCCGCACTCTGATGGGGCCCATCGGGTGGCCCAAGCATTTAGGGTCACCCGATGGGCCCTATATCTTTATTGTGAGAACATGTTGGTCTTACATTTTTTTATTTTGATCTATCTGGGGTCAAGCCCCGAGATACCCCTGGAGTGTCTCACTGGTGTATTGAATCTGAGATATGGATATACATTTAGTTGCAGGTGCTTTGTGCCCATGCATAATGGTATGATCCGGTCACAGAATCATATTCTTTTCACCCCCTTATTGCACTAGCGACTGGGCAGCAATTAGTAGTTTTAAATGACAGCGAGCAACAGCATGCCGTGAGAAGGGGCATGTGGGAGGATTTAACCTCCCTTTTATTAATATGGGTGTTATAGTGACCCCCATAGGTTTTAATGCCGGGTGGTAGGAATTGTTAATATTTATTACAAGGAAGGAGCTGATAGCGCTACCGGCTCCCTTCCTTGCTTTTTTTGGGGGGGCGCATGTGCAGTGCTATTTTCGTAATGGACGAAAACTAATTATTTTTTACCAAATTTCATCCGAAAAACAAATGGAGGAAAGGGTTACTTACAGTAAGAAACATAAAGTGTCTGTGTGTGTTTCTGTATGTATGTGTGTGTTTGTATGTCAGTATGTCTGTATTTGTGTATGTATGTATATATGTCAGTATGTATATGTATGTATGTATGTCAGTATGTATGTATCTATCTGTATGTCAGTATGTATGTCAATATGTATGTATGTATTTGTGTGTGTGTGTGTGTGTGTGTGTGTGTGTGCCTGTATGTCCTTATGCATATGTGTGTCTGTATGCAGGTTAGTATGTGTCTGTGTGCCGCTATGTATGTCTGTGTGTCTGTATATGTGTGTATGTCTGTTTCAGTATGTGTGTGTCAGAATGTATACATGTATGTGTGTATGTCTGTTTCAGTATGTGTGTATCTTTGTGTGTGTGTGTGTGTATCGGTGTCCTTTTGTATCAATGTGTGTATCCAAGTTTGTGCCTGTGTATGTATTCTGTGTCAATGTTTGAGTGCTTGTGCATGTTTGTGTGGGTATGTGTGCGTGTGTATATATGTGTGTCAGTGTGTGTATATGTGTGTCTGTGTATTTGCATGTGTGTGAGTGTATGTGTCTGAGTATTGTATGGAAGTGTATACACTACACACAAATGCACACCTGCATTCAAACACCAAGATTCACACACATACCCCATACAAAAACATGCTTACATTCAAGCACAAATTGTGTGTGTGTGTATACATACATACATACACGCATTGCATCCGCTACACATGCATTAACACTGCAACCAATACACAAACGCACACTGGGTTTTAGAGGCAGACCCTGGGGAGGCTTGGAGGCAGGGCCCAGACCTTGAGCTGTGTTAGGGACCCCAAAATTTCTGATGGCGGCCCTGCACTCCATTTACCATAACAGCTAGAGCCCACTATAGTATATATGGCAGGAGTGCCCTTGTGCTTTTCCAGTGTAATCTTTTAACCCCTTAAGGACACATGACATGTGTGACATGTCATGATTCCCTTTTATTCCAGAAGTTTGGTCCTTAAGGGGTTAAACCATTTTAGCATGGTTTGAAAAATATCTGAGTGCAGTGGTGTACCTACCATGGTCTCAGGGGTCGCCGCTGCGACTGAGCTCTCACTCCAGGGGGCCGGGCCGCAGCTGCAACCCCTGCAACAGTGGGTCGTCTGCATACCTTCTGTGCCGGTGCACAGCTGCTCCCCTCCTGCCTGTGTGTAGCGTGGCCAAGCATTCTGACAGGAAGAGCACTTCCTGTCAGACCAGGAACCGTGGTGAGAAGCAGGTACAGGAGGGGGGAGAGAGAGGGAGGAATGGGACACGTGAAGGTGAGGGGGAAGAGAGGGAGGAATGGGACACATGTGGGGGAGAGAGAGGGAGGGTACATGGTGGGAGGGGAGAGAGGGAGGAATGGGACACATGGAGGGGAGGGAGAGAGGAGGAATGGGACACATGGAGAGAGAGGGGAGGAAGGGGACAGGAGGGGAGGAGGGAGGTATGGGACACATGGTGGGGGGGGAGAGAGGGAGGAATGGGACACCATGGAGGGAAGGAGATGGAGGAGAGGGGGGGAGAGGGAAGGAATGGGACACATGGAGGAGAGGGGGAGAGAGGAAGGAATGGGACACATGGAGGGGAAGGGGAGAGAGGGAGGAATGGGATACATGGAGGGGAGGGGAAGAGAGGAAGGAATGGGACACATGTAGGGGAGGGGAGGAGAGAGGGAGGAATGGGACACATGGAGTGGATGGGGAAGAGAGGGTGGAATAAGACATAGTGGTTTCTAGTTAAGCCACTGCCTGGGTGCCTAAACTGCTTTCTGTCAGCCCAAGCAGGATGCCAGTGTAGGCGTTCATTTGTGTATTATGGGTGTATCAGCAAACCATTCTGAATGAATAAGTCAATGGATAAGTTGCCAACTTGAACAAATTTGACATATTGTTTCTCCAGCTCAAAAAGAAAGAGCATACCATGGCCACTACCTCTCCTGCACCACTACAGCAGACTTTAATTGTTATGGTGCATTATCTTCATAAACAATGCATAACATAGAAACTAATTCCCTTTCCTTGATGTAATGCAGATGGTAGCCTTCTTTGACTTAGCATTCCAAATGGTGTTCATTCAAGAATATCTTTAAAATGTTTATAGTAATGGACGTCACTTCTGGCAGCGCTACATATATTGTTTTCATACTACAATTAAAAAAACAGCTATGATTCTAAAGCAAAAAAAAAAAAATACACTTTCCATTTTGGTTATTTTTTATATATATATTACCATAGCATTTTATGTGGAATTATTCACTCCAAGGTGAGCTGTATTCAGATCATAAAACATGCTTTAAAAAGCTAAATGTGAGTGATTTCATAAAAGCTGCGCTTATTTTTTCCATCAGCACCCTTTTTATGTTGTGCTATGTGATATATTTATCAGGCAGCTGGTTTGTGCAGTTTTAGATGCGTAATATGCTGTCTTCTCCTGGAACAGACAACATGGGGTAACATATCTTACTGCTGGCAGACCTTCAGTGAAATATCTCATACAACACTGGTCCCATGCACCATCTGGCAATTCTCACAATGGCTTTTCCAGAGTTGGGGCTATAAACAGGAACATCAGAGGTCTGTGATCTGCATTTGTTTGTGATTGTCGGTGATATATCAGTTTTTTTATTTTTTTAACCTCCATGGGAAACATTCTAAGACAGTTTTACTTCAGAATATTTCTGTGATTGTATTTTTTCTTTCTAGAATTTATTATAGGACACAGTTAACAAATCGTTCTTTTTTTTTATGTGTATCAGTAGTTTTGGGAATATGTTTCAAACCCTGTTTTCAAGGGCTTAATGTCTGGAAATTGATATTAGGAAACAGCTGTACAATGCACAATAATGCCCGGTGTTTGACAGGCCAAGTCTATGAGAACCCGTAAAAAGTTGTACTAGGTTTACAAGCTGTTTTTTATGATATGACTGATATGATCATTATTATCCTAACGTGAGATGGGGATAAAATACTAAGCTGTATGTAGGCAATTTAAAGCATCAAACCACAGCAAGCACTATAACAACTAAAGAGCATTGTAGTTGTTATGGAGCTTAGAGTGTTCCTTTAATTCGATCCTGTCAATCAGCTCTTTACACCTGAATATATGTCATCAACCAAGTGGATAATGGGACTATATGAAAGTTTAAATATTGACCTTTTCTGGCTGTCCAAGGTTTTATTGTCAGAGTCTAAATCATGGCACCACAGTATTATGTCGTGTGGATTAACCTATGATCACCCATTCTTTCAAACCAGGTCTAAGACTATATTTTACAGATATATTAGATATGTTGTGCTTTAATTTTTATATGAGTTGGATAATCGTAATTATATACCATTTATACGTATCTTTTTTTTTCTTTTTTTTTTATTCTTTTTCTTTTTTTAAAGAACATAGAAAATACATAGATTTAACAACAGGAAAAAAAAAGAATGTCCTTGGCAGCAAGACACTGCAGTCCACAATAAGAAGTGTGAAAAATTATGCCCAGAAGTCAGACAGGCAGTGTGCCAACCAAAGAAAGATACTGGTCTAAAAGAGACATAGAGGGTCACGGTCACTACCAAACAGATGCGTGGAAGCGCAACCCAATAAGCCCAGATAGGCAAGGAAAGAAAAAAAACAAAAAAAAAAACGAAAGACGGAGGAGTTAGAGAGACAAAACTAGGGGTGGCTTAATATGGGAAACCTAAGATGTTTAAGCCAAAGTTTCTGGTGTATGAGGGATTATAGTCAAAACAGAGCCATCGCTATTATAAGGTGGCACAGGCGCAAATAACCCTTCTCTCCATGGTTACACTTTGTAGTCATGCCCAATGAATAATGAATAATGAAATAATTAATCTGGCCAATTAATAATTTATCTGACCGTTGTACTGTGGTGCCAGCTGAGTTGGGGGGTGGAGGGTGGGGGTATGCAGGCTGAGAGTGGATTGGAACAGCAAGGAGTGTTATAAACTAAAGGTCGCTGGGATACATAATGTCATATCCCAGCAGCCAAGAGAAGGGCAGCAACACCTGGTCGGACCCCTGATGAAAAACAGTAAGTGTGTGCATGTATACATGGGCCAGTGTTTGTGTATGTGTGTAAGAGCCAGAGTGTGTGTAAGAGCCAGTTTGTAAGTATGTGTAAGAGCCAATGAGTGAGTGTGAGTAAGAGCCAGTAAGTGAGTGTATGTGTCAGCAAGTATGTGTGAGCCAGTGTGTGTGTGTCTTTAAACCAGTGTATTTGTATATGCCTATGCATGAGCCATGAGTGAGTGCTTGTGTGTGTATAGATTAGTAAAAGCAGTGAGCAATAGTTTGTGTCAGAGAGTGTTTTCCTTTCTATATACTGATTTTTTTTTTTACCCATTTAAAAAAAAAGACAATATATATGACAGATTTATATATATACAAGAGATAGGAGTAAGAAAATCAGCGGGGGATGGGGAGAGACCGGCGGGGTGGTAAGAGACATGTGTGAAGGTAGAGGGGACCAGTGGATGAACATACCCATACCTTAGATTACCTTAATAAACAGAAGCAGAATGTTGATGGTGACAAACAGATCCTATACACTAACCGGCCTCACAACTGGCCTAACATTAACTCTGTGCTAACCACTGTCCTACCCTTGGCTCAGTGGGCCTGTACATCCCATAAACATAACCAAGGTTAGGGGAGGGATCAGCCCTGATCATCCTTTCCATTGGACCGCTGGTCCAACCCTGATTGACAAGGGATCTTTTCTTCCGAATGCTGTGACAATAAAAAACATGTTAGAAACAAACACAAACAGTAAACCGTAACACAAAGGGAGGGTGGGAGACTTCTCCAAGCTGAGATTATTAACCCCTTAAGGACACAACTTCTGGAATAACATGGAATCATGACGGAATATTTCTGTCAGGTGTCCTTAAGGGGTATATAGTATATAGTATATAGCAGGGCCGGACTGGGAAAAAAATTCGGCCCGGGCATTTTTTTATCACAGCGGCCCACTAAGAAGGGGGCGGGGCAGAGAGGGTGCGTTTTGTCATCACTCATGACAAGCACGCCCCCTCTCAAAGTGAGCATGTTGGTTCAATGCTCTTCCAGGGCAGACCATGCACAGAGCTCTGCTGAAGAGCTCTAGCATGAGAAAAAAAGCCCTGTATTTGTTCTGCGCAGTGCAAGCAAATTTAATAACATGCTTGCACTGTGTTTCCTTGCAACTTGTCTCTGGTGTCTCTATAAATGGATACCAGGAGACAAAAGGGCCAGGAAAGAGTATTGTGCATGTGTTTGGAGATTGCTTGGGGTATTGCGTGTGTGCAGAGTGAGCTGGTCGTGGTGTGGTATTGTGTAATAAGGTCGGTTTTAGTTGTGTTGTGTTTGTGGTATAATGTAATGCATATGTGGCTAGGGGCTTTAGAGAATGTGTGTTTAGGGGATGTAGCAAGAGTGTATACAGGCTATAGTGTGTGTGTGTGTGTGTGTGTGTATAGGTGATGTAGTGTTTGTAGAGAGTGTGTGTTCAGGGAATGTAGTATGTGTTTGCTTACAAGGAATCTAGTGTGCGTATAAGGGATCCAGAGTGTGTGTGTGTGTTTGAAGGACCCAGAATATGTATAGGAGATCTAGTGAGCGTGCGTATATAATGGATTCAGAGTGTATATAGGGATCTAGTGTGTGTATGTGTGTAGATGATGCAGAGTTGGGTACAGGATCTAGTGTGGGTCTGGAATGAAATGTGTTTAGGGGTGCTGTGTGTGTGAGGGGTGCTGTGTGTATATTTATATGTGTATATATATTATATAAATATGTTTGGAAGTATTGTGTATGTGTGTGATGCAGTGTGTCAGGGGGTTGTGTGTGTATGTGAGGGGTGCAGTATGTGTGTGTGATGGATCCTGTGTGTGAGGTGTGGGTGCTGTGCAAGGGTGCTGTGTGTGTGAGGGTGCTGTATGTGTGGGTGCTGTATGTGATTGATTTGTGTGAGGGTGCTGTGTGTGTGGGTGCTGTGTATGATGTGTTTGAGAGTGTTGTGAGTGCTGAGTGTGATGTGTGTGAGTGCTGAGTGTTGTGTTTGAGAGTGATGTGTG